CTTGTTCCCTTTAATGAACTGATCTGCTGGCTCATTGCTAATTCTTATGAAGGATACTTTAGTCTTCATTCAGAATATGTTACAATTATTAACATTCAACAATGTAGTTGTTCACAACTTCTCAAAATTAGCTATGATTGGATGATGTAGCCTCCAACCTAAGCGGCTTGCATGAACCCGGACACGCAATACTACTTCACATGAGATGATCCAGCTATTGTATTTGTAGTGATAAATCAAAATTTTTCAGTAGTTAGATTGATTGCAAGAATAGTAGTTAGTAGCCCTTCTTTCTTTCATGAAACAACTCTTCTTCTTCTCATGCATTTTGTGATAAAAATCTAATGAAATGGTAGAGTATTAGATGTACAATAGCCTTAAAAAGCTTGCATCTTTTAGAATGTATTGCATGATAATGAGTGTGTCTAATGATCAAAGCTTGGCCTGTCTAATGTAGGGGACGACTTTCAAGGCTAAAGTGATCAAAGCTTGGCCTGTCTAATGAATACTGAGCTCGAGCTCGAGTCGACCTCGAGCTTGGCTCGTAATGGTAGCAACCGTCTCACGAGCTCAAACTAAAAATTCAATTTTTAGGTAGCTGATCATAGAAGGTATTGATGGCCGGAGGGGGAGGATGTTGTGACAACTAATCAGAAAATACAAAGAAATTACTAACGGTAGGCTAATTGAGCAAGCTCACGAGCCAACAAGTCGAGTCTAGACAAGCTCAAGCTCAAGCTTGAGTTCTTGACTTGCGAGTTCGTTAACGAGTCAAGCTCGCTCGAGCCCGCTTGCAAGTCGGATCGGCTCATTCACACCCCTAAAACCAACAATTTTATCCCTATACTTATATCATAAACTGTTATTTCTTTTTCGAAATGATGAGAGAACTATGATATTCAAAATGTGAACTATTCCACATGGGCTTATCTCCACCAAACTAGAAAAGGATTTCCACAACATTGTCAAATGATATGTAGGACCATTGGGAGAGGAAATTAGGTTCAAGTATGGAGTACCATTTGAAATAAGAGAACAAAATTTGACATCAAAAACTATATTGAGTATGGAGTATTAAATGTTATTACCAAACATTTCTCTAAGTGAGAATTCATTGAGACAGGAGTCATGAAAGTGATTTTTAAGAATAAGATTTACATTCATACCAAACAATTCTTATGAATTTATATACCTCATACCAAAATTTGAATTTTTACATATATGCCATTTTTATATACCACGTTAGCTTCACATGAAAAATTGAATTTCATTTTTTTTTTAATTAAAATAGTAAAATTTTTAGGTGATATGAAATATTTAGGGGTTCCAAATGTAAATATAGGCCAAGTTTAGGAGTTAGATATATAAATACAATGCAAATGTCCCTTTTAAAGGATAGGAATCCAAAAAATTAAGATAGGAAAAAAAATCTCTTCATCCATAACCTAATGAAATGGAAAAAATTAAAAGTGCAATATAAATTTTCATGTATAATTTTTAACAACACTATTATAAATGTAAATGTATATCAAGAATGTCTCAGCATGAATATTGAGAAGATGTAACAGTACATAAAGAAGGGAGTACAACAAAGGAGGGCCTACCGACAAAAAGACCAAGACGCCTCACTTATCCACATTGGTATAGCCATCCGAGCTAAGGATGAAAGGGTAACTGGGTCAGGAGAAAGATAAAAAGAATGATCGGAGTCCGAGCCGACTAGACTAAAGCATAATATAAGCACATGAGCATAAAAATTCAGCGAAGGCGTCGACCTACCTCTCGACAAATCCAACCCTAGAAAAAAATCTAACTCGTCATCATCGATCGTCCTATGGATTCCCTCAAGCTTCCTCATCAGAGATCACAAATTAGTATTGCAATAGCTTCTCACAGTCATCCTGAAGGGCTCCCTCCTCAAGTAATGAGCTACATTGATTCACTCTCTGCTCGATACTCTGATCTCATTATGTCGATAGGAGCGCCTCTTCTAGGCATCAAAGTAGTCAAACTATATCAACTAACTGGTAAAGTCTAGTCAACCTAGCCAGTTCAGCAGACCCGAAGCTAATAAACATCATATTTCTTACGCGATGTGATTCGTAGACAAATCAAAATTCAACAATAAATATCAAATATTAGGCGTTAGATATGTAAATACATAAGAATTGAAATGTATGTACATTTTTCAAAATTTTACTTAGAAGAGGAGATTTAAAGAAGAAAGCAATGTTAAATATGGGATAAAGATGCAACGAAAAAATATACAAATTGCTAAATGCAGGAAATGCGTTAGATGCTTGGCGCTGTTTCTCACGAAATTGCAGTTGAACAACACGTACAGTTTTCAAATTCCATTCAAGTGTTGACACGTGTATTCTATGTGCCCGATGAAGCCACCTAATGATCCGACGGCTCTCCAGCTTCCCACGACCGTTGGATGTCAATTTGAACGACCATTATTTTATCAAATTTCTCCTGTTGAATGTTTCACAACGCTGGCCAACCGTCACCTTGCAAGACCAATAACTCATCCCCATCAAAGGGAATATAGCTTGCTTCACAAGCCACATTTCTCTCTCTAAATTAATGCTATAATGGCCGTTGGATCATCGTATGATCCTGGATATCATTGTCAATCATGATCATCATTAGACGGCAGCATCAAATTTTATCTAAATTATTTGAAATCTATTTTATAATTGAATCATCATTCTTTTTGCATTCTTATTTGGTGTTAAAAGTGATGTTAGGCCTAATTTTCGTATTTTTTTTCTCATTGATTTATGCATTTATATTGTTTTTTATGTGTTTAATGGATGTCAAAATCTTTCTATTGTTAAAATTTCTCAATCTATTAACACATCAATCAAGCTAAGTTAACATAAGAAAAATGATGATTAAAGTTGTTGGATCCTAATTTGTCATTTGTGAACCAAATGAAGGAGAGAAGGATGAGAGAATATAACAGATTTGAAATTTTTATTGGGAAAATCGAAGGAGAGCCCCCTTATTCATTCTTTTGCTTCGTACTTAGAGAGATGTGTTTTGTACAATTACAAAAAGGAGGAAACGATTATGAAAACCGTTATTAATGTCATTAAGGCTCTAATTGATTGTATGGATTTTGTCATATTTGTATTACAATTTGAATTTCAACATTGGCGGTAGTTGGTTGGTCGGCTGACTTGAAGTGAGCGGACTGAGACAACCGATCAAGTGACATATGTGCCCTTTGGAGTATGTGTGGGTCGGTCGAGGTGTTCGTTCGGTCCATACGTGGGGTTAGTTGGTCGAACGTGACCGGTCAGCTTTTTTTGTTGAGTGAGTTGTGGCACATTCTTCGTTTGGCTCGAGTCTTACAGAGCTCGTGTCTCTCTTGTCTAGTTGTTTCATCGTCTCTGCCGGATCTCCTAACCTTGCAAGGTCTTAGGCGGATATTGTTGCCCCCTATGTGGGGTATCCGATGAGACTCACTGTCGAGAAGATTTACGTCTCTACTGAGCGAGGAACCATCTCTAGAGTTTGAACCATCTCGAGTTTGAGGAAGCGGCTTCATACTCAAGCTTAAATTGTCGTTTTATTGCTTTGCTTACCTTGAGAGGATGCTCTTTCATCTTGGTCGTTCATTCTCTTTTAAGGTTAGTGCTGGTATTTTTGGTGCATGCATATTAGTACCTCGAGTTTTCCTGCTTCTTGATAGCGACAACTACAATAAAAATAGGAAAATTATCAATAAATTTGTGAATTGATTGAACACATGACTTCTCTTAGGATTTTGTGTCTTATGTGCTCTATAAATAGACATGAACTAAGCCTTGTATCATTTGTCTTCAGTTTGTCTTATTACAACTGAGGTGCGTTATGACTGATAAATTGAACCAGGTCGTCATAGATCTTGAGAGCCTTGAGAGGGCATGGTTTAACCCATAGATGGTCTTCACATAGACCATAGTGGTGAGCTGTGATGATATTCATAAGTCGTAAAGGCAGGTGTCAGGAGCTACACTTGTTGTGGGCCAAGTAGACCGTAATTAGTCATATAAGTCGTAGCGAGAAGTTGCAAGGAGAGAGCTTTAAGAGTCTAGAGAAATTCATCATCTCCGGGGTGCATTTTTACATCATCTTCAAGAGGCATCATTGCATTATTTGTGGAGTGCAAATCTTGGTGAGGCTTTGTTGCAATGTATGTGGGGTGTGTCCATCTTCAGGAGACAACAACGCACTGTACGTAGGGTGCGTTGCTACACCATCTTTGAGAGGCGTCATTGTACCGTATGTGAGATGCATTGTCAGACCGTCTTATAGAGACATCGTTACAACATATGTGAGGTGTGTTGTTGCACAGTGTACTGGACGACATATTGTTTCGCCAAATGCTCCATTATTTCACAAAATTGCCGTCATGTGAAAAATCTCCCCAAGAAAACGTGACGACGACACAGGTTGTGTTGTGCCTCAAGTTTCATAACAGATAATAAAAAATTTTTAAAGGTGTATCAACACCGTCTTTTCCCAGGTAAGTTCAACTTCATCGTCCAAAAATGTCAAAATATAGAACACTTTATAAATATTCTTATGAGCACATAGCACACAATTCTTATGTATTCCCAAGCTAAAATTTGTCAGCACACCACTTAATTTCTGTGCTTATCACAAAAATTAAGTGGTTTGCTGATAAATTTTAGCGTGAGAACACAAGTGTTGTGTGCCATGTATGTAAAACCACATATCTGGGGGATATGAATTTTGTAATTTTATCATAAATAAATTTAATTCAGATATTTTGGAATGTAATTAGAGTATATTTAAATTATAATATACATTAGTTAAGGAGATAAATAGAAGAGATTTGTTTCCTCTTTAATCTTATCTTAAAAAGAAAATAAAATATTTAATTTAAAAATTTTGATTTCCTTAAAATATTATTTTCTTTTTTTCTCAATTTTCCCCGATCTTAAATAAGTTAACTGGGAGAAAGAAGTTGGAGTTCCCGACCTGGTCGCAGACGATCAACGGGATCTCCCGAAGAAAAAATTGTGGCCGACTTGCACATCCAGGGGACGTCCTTTAGCATTGTTGTTGCGCTTTCGAGAGGAAGAAAAAAAGGAGTCCCCGACCTGCCCACCAGACGATTAACGGGGTCTCCTTTCGCGTCACTGTTGCAAGTTCCGGAGAAAGAAAAAAGATATCCCAGGCAGGTGATCGGTAGGATACTCTTTCTCAGCGCTATTGCACTTTTCAAAGGAAGAAAAAAGATGTGCTAACCGATCAACAAAATCTCTTTTCACATTTTTGTTACCCTTTTCAGACGGGATTTCCCGTGTTGCTGTCCCACTTCTTGGGGGAGGTTTCTTGTGCCGCTACAGTGATTTTTGGAGGAATTTTTTGCATTGTTGTCATGCTTTTTAGAGAGAATTTTCTATACTGCTGTGGCACTTTCTGTGGGAGATTTCCTGCACTACCGCGGTAATTTATGAAGGAGATTTTTTGCTTTGTTGTCGCGTTTTTAGTAGGAATTTTCTAAAAAGGATGTCAGTAATGCAAAAAATCGTAACAATGTAGGAAATCTCCCACAAAAGAAGATTTCTCAGGCTGTCATGGTAGTTTTTTAAGGATATTTTCCGTTTTTCCATGTTGTTGTTATACTTTTCGGAGTGATTAAATTTCCTAAACCATTTGGCAAGTTAATTTAGAATTTAAACCAAATAGTTTAATTTAATTTAAGTGTTATATACTTTTAGTTATAATAATAATTAATTAATTATTTATTAAGTAACTAACTGATAGTTAGAATTGCTTTAAAGAAATTACTCATTAACTCATTGTTTATTATTAATTAATTAAATACAATTTAATTTTAACTAGTACAGCATAAAATTGCAAGTCACCGCAAGTAATCATCAAATAATCAACAACTATCTACTACTTGATCATTCATTCATCAATCAAAATTTTGCTAAACAAAAATAATTAATGATTAACACAATAATATACTTTAAGTAATTATAATTAACTATTTATTAAACTAATTAATCATTAAGTAATATTTCCTTCAAACAATTAATTATTGATTATGAATTTATGATATATTGAACTAAAACACATGAATAAATCACGTATATCATTAAAGTAATTAACTTCAAATATTATTGATCAATTAAAACTAATTAGCACATCATCATCATTATCTTCTTCTTAATTACGGAAGCTTAAAAACACGAAGCTTGCTTGCGAAGTCAAAGACGAGATTGTGACATCGGAAACCTTTGTCTTCGATGGATTTCGTAAACGGAAGTTTAGAATTGAAATCGTTAACAAACAAACTAAAAGATAATACCTTGTAACATATTAGCTTTGTTGTGATTTTATGTATATAAAAATATATAGTGAAGCACTAGACGTGGGTCAATATTTTTCTTAGAATCTCGTAGGAAATTTTATTCTAATAAAGAAAAGATTTCATGGTTTGTGACTGACAGTCTCACGAAAAAAAGATACCGTCAGTCAACTCACGCAAAAAAATCTAAAAAATATTATCACATCGAATGTAAGGAGTTTCTAAAAAATCTTCATGAATAAGAATACAAAACTCATGAGATACTCGAACCGAGAATATGAAGTTTTGTTTCTCCAATTCACGCTTTGCAGCCCAATTTGCACATTGGTTTCCTCCGCGATATGTAAATAGCCAATTAACCTGCACAATCTTAAAAAGAGCAAATATTTTTTTTTATTTTGAATAATAAGACTCTAAGGATACCCCTCATAAGACATGGGCTAATATAATATCCTTTATGATAAATTTAATTAATGGGGGATTATATATGCTAAGTATATTGATTAAAAAATAAATAATATACCCCTCATAAAAGACTTACAAGCTTAACTTTTTGTGTGAATTATTTTTCATTTTAATCCAATTATTATTTTTCATTCAACTTATATTAATTAAATATTAAAGTGGCTCTTTTGCCCTAACAAAATGATTTTAATATTTTTTTATAACTCAACAAATTAATGACACGTAAATTATAATAATGGAGATAAACATCAAATACTTAAATTATAAAATTGAAATATCAAAGGAACATTCTTACTATAAAAAATAATAATTATATATGTATAT